AGGACAAGAAGGTGAGGTGAGCTTAGAGAAATGGTTTGGGAAGGAAAACCGTCGTCCTGCAGCGGCACCGCGCGGGGCTGTCGAGAAGCGCCGCGGCGGCGGGCGGGGCGTGTGCGCCGGGCGGTGGGAGGGCGGGCGCGGTGCCCTTTCTCGCTGCCGCCCCGGCCCTCGGGCAGCGCGCTACGCTGTCCCTCGCAGGCATCGCGCTCATCCTGTGGAACGCCCTGTACACCGCCGAGAAGGCTATCATTCGCTGGAGCCTGCTGGCCGAGGCGTGCTACTTCGCTGTGCAGTTCCTGGGTGAGTGCCCGCGGGCTCGGGCCGGAACGAGGAGGAGGAGGAGGAGGAGGATGCAAAGGCTGCGTGCCCGCCGGGTGGGAAACGGTGCTCAGCGGTGGGCAGGGCAGCGGTGTAAGCAGTATTGGAGCATCTTCCCAGCCAGCTGCTCTCCCTTTTCTTCCGACATGGAGTAGTCTCTGCTCTGGGTTGCTCACTGAAGGGCGAAACATTGCCCTTTGACAATTCATTTATTTTTCTTCCTGAAAACGTCCTGGCCTTCACAGCCAGCACTCATCTTTGGTGGAGCAGGCTGCCTACATGCAGGGTCTGACAAGAAAAGACTGTAGCAACCTACACTAAAAAGGGGGATGTTCAGTCATACCAAAACAGAGAATAACAGTTTAGCTTGTTTCTAGGGAGCTTATCTATATTTAACAAAGAAGAGGGTTCTTATGTGTGTGTATTGGTAACTCATGAACTGTGATGCTGATTTAGATATGGGCTATGTGCTGGTAGCCAAAAAAGAGACATGTTCGATTGAGGCAGTGTGTGTGGACTGTGCATGTTTTGTAGATGCTCCTAAAGTTGAGAAATGTTTATCAGCACTGAAGTGTTCAAGCCACAAAGCAAACTCAGGAATATATGGCTCCCACATTTAACATCTGAGCATGATGGAAACTCGCATCTGCTCAAGTGACCATTTCAGGCTGTGGCTGCCTGAATGTGGGGCTGCCTTTAAAGGAGGGTTTCTGTAAGTAAGAGCTCTGGAGTTTGTGACTGGTTGCAAGGCTGTAAAATCAAGCAAGTGAAGAGCCTCCAGCATGGATTCACTGTGCATGCAAGTAAGCCTGTGCTGAAAGCTCCTGCTCTCGCAAGGCTCAGCAGCTCTTGCCAAGACACTGCGTTAGAGGGCAGCAGAAAACAGCTTTGTGCTATTTGTTCGTAGTTTTGTATCACCAACCTCTGCCTTGTCTCTTTCCTTCTTCTCCAGTTACCACGGTCTCCCTTGCTGAGAGCAGCCGGATAGCCACGGGTGCCGTGCTCCTCCTGGTCAGCCGAGCCCTCTTCATTATCATCAGCATTTATTATTATTACCAAGTTGGACGTCGTCCCAAGAAAGTCTAATTCCTGGGCTTTTTTGTTATGGGAAGGGTGGGAGGGGGGAGTTTGTGTCGGTAATTTTGCATTATAATTATAACTTTTTTTTTTAGTTTTTAATTAGTCTCTTTTGGTTCTAAAGTAGTTTCCTTCTTTACCGGCATGAATCAGTGTGCAACCCGGTGCTGGTAGCACTACCAGCTGAAATGGGGGGGAGCAGCATCAGGTGGGACCCCCCAGCCTCTCTGCAGGAGGTGAGGACCAGCAGGAGGAAGGCTCAGGGAAGTGTGTAGGCCTGGCAGGCTCAGGGAAAAAAAGGCCAGTTTTCTGGGAGGAACTGGCCAATTGGATCACAGGCTCTGAACCCGATGGAACAAAGCACAAAATAAGGCCAGCATATTGAAACCAAATCCCTGAGGAGACAGGGCAGTAAGACAACCAATGAAGGACTCAGCTCTCTACTTGGTAAGCCTTGCACCTGCCTGATGGAGTGTATGCCCATGTGTACAGCCCGTTCCCCTTTTAGCAAGTACTGACTGTCTAGGTAGCTGGGGGCTGGATGGGGTCAAACTCAGTGCTTTACAAACAGCTCTTCTTTCCTTGCTGCCAGAGGTGCATTTTTGTGTAGTTTATAGTTTTTCACCAGGTGCTGTGCAGAGCTTGGCAGGAGATATACCAAAAGAAGAGGGAGAACCCTTGCGTGTTCCCACTAAAGGGACAACACTGGGAACAGTGGAGCAGCTTGAACTACAAGATGGGAGAAGTGAAGGAAGCTATTGGAAATAGCCCACTGAGCACAAAGACATCCCCTTGTTTGTGTTTCATGAAGTTTGTAGGCTGGGGTCCTATCCCCTTCACCCTGAAACAGTTCCTGCAGTTGCAGCTTTACTGATGGTAGTAGCAGAGGTGGGTGTGAGGTCACATCTAATGTTTTAGTTAAGCAGGGGCTGGAATGCCGTTGAGGCTAGCACTAGTAAGAGCAGAGCAAGCATCAGTCCAGATGCTTGGGTCAGGGAGTAACCTCTAGAGATGGTTGTGGGAGATGGTGTTCCAACTCTGCTGATATGCAGGTATCACATCTCTTCTGACCTGGAGAAGAGAGGACCAAAGTTTGTAGCATTAAGATATTTAACTGGGATGAAGAACAGCAAGGAGTGGAGCATATGAAGGCATCATTGCCTTTTCTGGTTCTGTCAAGGCTGGATTTTAGTACTTCAGTGCTCACCGGGCAGCTTCTTCAACACCTCCTGGGCTTTAATAGCATTGGCTGCCCTACTTCCCAGCGCTTTCCTTGTGGATTATGCTTGTCCACAATTAGAGGTGGCAGTTTATTCTCTGTGGGACTAAAGCCAGAGGGTCTGTGTACAGGATATGGACTTCTTACTCATGCACTACTGTTGACTGGATCAGAGCATGCCCTGTAATAGAGCTGATGTTCCAAAATCCCAGTAGAAAGATGCCTACGCAAACAGAACTGCTTGTGTGAACAACAACCCTCAAGCTACTGGTGAGACTGGGATCTATGGCTATTGCTATTTAATATCTTAGTAGAGTTAGAAGAAGGTAGTGGGTAGTAAATTGTATGTTGTGTTAGTGCTTTTGGCATTTAGAAGCAGCTACATAAGCTTGGGACACTGTGTGCATTGTACTTACTGGCCATGCAAAATGCCTATCAGGTAAGAATATTGGAAACATCACAACTATAATTTAGTTTCTTACCTAAGAAGTAGATCAAGTGGAGAGGCAACATCCAACAGCAGGCTAAATTCTGGAGCCTCCCAAGAACACACTTGTCAAGCTGCTTTCAGCATGTCAGAAAATTATACTGAGCAACTAAAACTTTTAATTAAGAGGAGCGTTCCTGTTCAGTGGAAGAATTGGGCTCTCAGAGGGAAACCTTTACCTGTGAGGCAGGTAATGATCAAATGCAGCCTGGAGAGTATCAGAAATTAGACGAAGTGGTGCTATGTGCAGGAGCAGGAGCATGGCAAGCTGTGGCTGTTGCTCTCACCCTGTGCATCACCTGCATGGGCAGCTGCAATGGCCTCAGTGTGGCACTTTGGCTGTAGTTGTTGGTATAGGTACGTGAAGCTTGATTCTTTGTGTTTTGGGGCGTCACATGAATGTATACACAGATTGATGGTTGGTTTGGGGGGAGGGGGAAATTATGTTTCTGGGACAGACAAGTAAAACCACAGCAAAAGCAAACTTGCAGAAGGAAATGGAGGGTCTTCTTAATGCTGCCTCCCATCTGTGTTGGCCACAGGTCCTAGGAACTTAGTTATGACTCTGGTTTGATTAGTGTACCTTAAAATATCATCCCATAAGTGAGAGAAATGAGTTAGTGCGTTCTGTGAGAGAAGTTCTCCAAAGACTTCTTGATGGTTAAATCAGGTGTGGGAGGGTGGGAGAAGCAGTTACAGCTTTCCAGAGTAGCTTTAAATTAGGTGAGATCAGATTCCTCTGGTCCCCTGCTTAGTAGCTGCCTCTGCAAAACTTGAAATAATCAGCCACTTCTAGGTTTGCCAGTTAACTGGGGGAGTAGCCACTTAAAAGATTTCATACTACTTGGTACCTAGTCCTTAAAGTGGAGAGATGGAAGAAGTTGTTTTATTTTGATGCTTCTTGCTCCATCTTGCTATCAAGGGACCATGTAGAAATCATGGAAATGGACTGGGGCTTTACACCTCTTCTACAACTAAGTTATGGTCCCTGGCACGTCCCTTCTCATCAGCAAGGTGCGGCAGGAGAAACATGACCAGGCCTGTTGGAGGTGGTGAATGGGTAGCAGGGGAGGTCTAAGAGGGTGTTTCTCAGGGTGGCTTGAGGATGAAGCCCAGGCAGAGCATCTGCAGCACTGCCAGAAACCCACTGAACCTGGTTGTCTTCACTCTTTTATGAATGAGGGAGAAGGAAGGAGGATGCTGAAAAATTTTGTACAGAATAGTGTCCCTAATAACAAAAGTGCTGGCATCATAGCAGTTGAGCACATAATTTGGGATCAAAAGCCTGAGGCATCACCTCAGGCTCTGCTACTGATCTGAGAAAAAAACTGTCTCCACAGGCCTCAGTTTCCTTATCTGTTTATACTGTGAGAGAGGCCTTGGACTGGTGTCATTCCCAAGGGAGACTGCAGTGAAGTACCTGTATTTGTACAGTGCTGTGCAGGGCTGGGAGTCTGTTCCCCAGAGGGTTGTGCTCCAAGCAGGCACAGGCCAGGACTTAAGGCTGACCCCCTTTCTCTGCCAGGGATGAACCCAAACCCTTGCATTCGCAGAACCCTCACTTTGGAGGGTGAAGAAAGCTCATCACTCACATAACTCCCTACATCACCGTATTTATGCCTAACCGGTATCTGGCAAACTGGAGCTGGTGACAAAGGAGAGGCTCTGTCTGTCCTAATCTGGCCTCTCCTTTCTGATCAAGAGTTTTTACATGGGGGGGTGGGGGCGGAGGGGTGGTGCAGGGGAGAATGGGACACTTCAATTTATACCTCATTTTAGCTGCTGTACTTGAGTTTATTTCTCCTATGGCAAGAAAGTGACTGTACTGAACACCAAGCAAATAGTGAAAATTAAAGCTGTTTCACTTCACTGTCACAATATCTTTTATTTTGGTTTGGGTTTTTTGTTGGTTTTTTTGGGTTTTTTTAAGAAATGCACACAAAAAACCATGCACAGAGTGCTTCAGGCTTGTGTTCTGGTTTATATTACCAAAAAAAAAAATTCCTTTCCATATAAAAAAGCATTACAGTAGGGAATACAGGATAAATTAGCTCCACTATCTAATAAAAAGTACATTTACAGTTTTTTAAAATAGATTTCAAACATTATTTCACACGCCAGCCCTTTTCCCAGGCATTTGTGACAGCATTAAATAACAGCCAGGAGGCAGGGATGCTGAGAGGGGCTGTGGGCTCACAAGCACAGGCTCCTCTCTACTCCATCCAAGGTGCTTGGGCCATGGTCACAGTGCTACAGCAAAGGAGGCAGCAGCACAGCAGCTCTATCTTGTCTCCAGCCTGCCCAGAGCTCTCCAGCGAGCAGTGACTCTACCTTTAGCCCCGACCCCAGACTATTCACCAGAGCTGTTAAAAACACATATAAAAATACAATTGCTTTTCCTGCCTACAGTTCTGAAGACTACTGTACAACAGAGGGGGCAGCCACATAACCAAGGGACAAAACCAACAAATTTACACGCTTTGCCATACAGTGGGAGTCTGCTTTCTAGGGTTGCTAGTTCATTAAAGTCCCCTGAGGGAAATTCTTTTTGCATGTTACCAACTACCACTGTCAGACTTGCACATATTGATGCTGCCTGGCCTTTGCTGGGGTTTTGAGCTATGTTTCAAGTGGCATGTGAGCCAGCCTACCGAGAGGATTTGAAGTCTTCACCCAGCAAAGAGCATCGAGGGATCAGACAAGGTAAGAGACGAGAAACAGCTGTGCACAGCCCAGAACAACAGGTGAAGAGGAGATCCTTTTGAAGATTGAGGGACTGCCATTTGGGAGAGAGGGAAAGTGAGAAAGCTACAGACAAAGCACTGAGTACAGAATTAGGAAAGCCAAAGAGAAACAAGCCAGCAGAGATCCTATTTCAGGTGTGTGTATTCAGTACTTAGTGCTCTGACTGCTTTGGTCTGGTTCCCCCAGCTCTGACGGTTTTTCCTCCCTCCCATGCCACTGTTGGCAGAAAAAGGCTTAAAGGCTTTTTTTTTTTCCTTTCAACCACCCACCATGCGCAAATTAGAGTATTTGCCTTCCAGGCTCCGACCTGAGGACTCTGCATAATAAACCAAGGGGAAAGAAAAAAACTGGAGACTGGGGGAGGCAGTTCTACTTCTCTCAATAACCTCCAGCCAAATTACTGTCTCTTCTGACAGTTTTGTTCTTTCCCTGGGATTTGCTCTCCCAGAACAGTAACTGACACCAACTCCTAAGGCAGAAGGAGAACAGATAAGCTCACCTTCTGCTGGGCCCATTTCCTACGAGACTAGTAGATGCAGCAGATATTTCTTAAGTGCAGCACCTGCTGTTCAGTACAAATACTGCTGGGTTTTGGCTAACCAAACTGTTTTCCTTTATTAAACAACAGACTAGAATTTAATGCTACAATGCCTCATTACAAAAAGGTCCAGAGGGAAATAGTTCAGAACAGCTTTCCACAAGGTTTAATGCAACATCTGGGGCTGCTCAGCAGCCCTGGCCGCCTGTTTCATTGCTGAATATGCTGACTGCAGCATGGGGGGGCTGCAGCTCTACCTGCCCAGCCCTATCCTCCTGATGAATGAAGTGTTGTTCTCAAATGAAGAGAAAATGGAAAAACTTCTAACGCCTCCTTCCTGCTCCTTAGTATCTTGATTCCCCAACCTGGATATTTAGCTAGGATCTTTGTCAATTATGGCCTAGGCTTTCTGCTGCTTTTTCTCCCTTGCCTGTAGTCTGTGCAGTGCCACTGGGAGAGCTCAAGGGACACAGCCCCAGGGGTGTAAGGGAACAGCCAGAGGATGTACCTCCTGCAGCTGCAAAGCCAGGACATGAGATTACTGTTCAGCTCCTTCCTTGCCAGAGGTTACAGCTTTCAGAAGAGGTGATTTGAGCCTGTATAAGTGTGCTCACATAATCTGAGCCTATAAAATCTGTAAAAAGACCTAAGATAAATGAGAAACCACAGCCCTTTCTATCCTCCCCCAGGTAAAATGAGTTTGGGGTCAGAGGGTGACCAGATGAACAATTAAGGCAACAGGAGCTGATGATTCCAGAGAAGAGAAACCAGCGACCTGCCTGAGTTGATATCCATGACCACTGGAGCAGCAGCTGGAGCAGTTTGTCTGCACACTGGGTGCTCTTAGAGGCTGCCTGGGGCCTCAGAAGCTCCAGCTTAATCTCTGACTAAGGTCCAGTCCCAGGCATCTTTCTCAAGTTCACTTCCAAATGATTGAGTAGATGACATGTTAGTTAAATAAAAAACTATCTCAAGGGAGGAAACACTCTCAACTAAAACAATTCTGACTTGATGATTACTTTCATCATGAGCCCATGAGAGAATCTCAGGGGAAATTCTCTGAGCAGAAATGATGCCAACAGACTGTTCCAGGCAAACAGCATGCTTGACAAACCTAAGCCTCTTCCATCCAGCACCATGACTGGACCTCCCCTTAGGGCTGGAAAGGATGTAGGAACCACTGCAAATAGTTATGCTAACAGAGCACCATAAACCATTTTTTTGCAAGTATCAAGGGAAAGGCAAAGGCTTACCAGATTTAAAGATTCTATCCTCCCCTTCTCAGGAAGGCAGCAGGTCAGTGATTCTTGACCGGACCATTATTTTTCCCAGGGGATGGGAACACAGCAGGGAACCATTTGGTCTCTTTCACAACAATGAACAATAAATCTTAGTAAAAACAGAAAGGTAGGCACCAAACTCTTGACCCTCAGCCAGCCTTAGCTGAGTCCCATTGCCAAGTTAGATCATGCTGCCCCTGCTTGGAGCTCTGGAGAAAAGCCAGCCTCACTGAAGTGCTAGACTTCTCAGACAAGTTTCACGTGACAAGGGCAAAGTTTCCACTGAAGAATCTGTGTTTTCATTCTGTGGCTGGAAATTAAACCCAGAATCACGCAAACAATGACTACCTACTTAGATGAGCCATCACCACTTGTTTCAAACCCACTTGGATAATCAAGGCTAACCTGTTGCCTTATCCAGTCCCTTGTGTGTCTATTCTTCAGTCCTTTGCTGTCTAAAGCACGATGAAGTTGTGCATGGTAGGCTCAGCCTTGTGGAAGAGGCAGCTGTGCTCATCCTCCCACGCCCCCTCCACTGGCTCCATCAGTCTTTAGTGCAATCAGCTGTGCTGGGCTCCTGCTCCACGGCTGCTGCGGGTGGCTCTGGGCAAGGGTCCGGTGTACAGTGTAGTGCACATCACCTCAAAGTTCCAGCCCCTGAAGTACAATCCTTTTGGTCATTCATATATTACAACCCCCTTTTTTCCTTTTTTTTTTTCCCCTCCCTATCCCATTTTAAAAAAAATAAAGTTTTTTGGGTGTTTTCAGATTTTGTTTCTTCTGATTTTCCTTCTTTCTTCTGAACATGTGGGGAACATGGTGGTCCATGGGCCATTTCTTACTGGATCCCTCGAAAGAGACACATAGCAAAAATCATGGCGAACAGCTGGGAAGAGGTGGGGAAGAAGAGGGCAAAACCAAAATAGAGTCAGCTGCATCTTCCATAAAATCAACAAACCCTCCCCCCCCCCAGCCCTGGGACCACCCCCATTGCTCCCTCCTGACCAGCAGTCAGTGATGCAGTGAGGGGGACCCTTCTTACCACTCAGGGGAGGCTGTGGCAAAACTTTTTTTCCTAAAGGCGATTCCTCCCTTCTTTCCGCTGCTCCCCGCACCTCCCCGTGCCACGCTCACTCCTCCCCCCCACCCCTGCCCTGTTCAAACTGTTAGTGGCTACGGCAGCAGCCTTGTTTTATTCCCAAACTGCCCTTGGTGTCACAGCAGAGCAGGTTCCACAATCCCTGCTCTGTACATCATTGCCACTGCCTGGGATGGGCACAGCACAGACTTTGCAGGAGGCTGCTCAGGCTCTCTGCCTAGGTCCCTCTCCTTTGCACAAGACAGGGGACTGCCAAAGCACCCAGCCTTGCCCCTGCAATGCCACAGGGACATCACTTCTGGGCTAATACCATGTCTGGTGGAAGCCTGTTGCTCAGAAATATCACCAAAGAGCCAGGTAGTAATGCAGGACAGTGGCTCTGTAGCCAATAGTTTCAGGCTCTAAACAGAAGCTTTTAAAGCAAAGGCAGAGTTTGAACATGTTCACCAAGTGACAGATCAGTCAGCTTTGGCGTGCTGCTGCAATGAGGGCAGTGACAGTGGGGCCTGGAGCAAGCGTTGGGTTCCCAAAGCCCCTGTGGCCAGCATGGCAGGGATGAGCTCTGTGGCTGGCCTAGCACAAGGTGGCACTCCAAGCGTGTGGCACTGGTTATTTCCTTGCCTTTTTGTGTCAAAGGATCAAGCACCCATCTCTTTCCAGGCACTTAAACCCACAAGTTGATGACCTTCTCGAACTTTGCCAGAGTACCTTCCCCTGGCAAGGGGAGCACCTGCCTGTCTGCCTCACTGCTGGACATCTACTGACACTGCTTTCCTTATTGTCAAACAACAGTAAGTACCTCAATAGCCAACACTCCGATGGCAAGGGCTCCTGCAAGGTACACGTAGGTCTCAAAGGAGTTCAGGATCACAGTGTAGCAGCCCTAGGAAAGACAAAACATGGTGAGACACACCTGAGCAGTACATTGCATTGTTCTTACAAATTAGCCCTCATTAGAACATGAGATGCTCTCAGACCCAAGCACCCAGGCACCACAAGCATGGCTCCCTCTCACCACCTCACCCAGCCCCAAAGCACAGGAGGCAGAGACCCACAGGACAGTGCTGGGGAGGGGCAGGTTTTGCTGTAGTGTGATGGGGGTGTTTTACACCCACAATCCCTCACTGACCAAGAGAAACTGTGAGTTCTTGCAGGGCAGCACAGAGAGGAACTCCATCTGCAAAGGACAGAGATTAACCACAGAGGGAAGGACACTCAGGGCAGGTGACAGACAACCCAGGCTGGCTACAGAAAAGGATGACTTATTTAAAGCCAAGGCAGGAGATTCTTGAATCGTCTCTCACAGCCAGCAGCTCTTTAGCAGCTCAGGACCTTTTCTCTGTGTCTTCCCCCAAAAGACCATGGCTGAACACCTACTGATCTTCTGGCTATAGAAGAATTTCATTAACAACTCATGTCCATCCACTATGGCAATTCTTCCACTTATGAAGCATAGCCACCATCATCTTTAAAGTAATTTACTCTTGTTCACACAATTAACAGCTGGTAGATCTTCCTGCAAAGGTTTCAGGATGTTTCTGGAAATCATCAGCTTATTCTGGCCTCAGTTCTCCCAGCCTAAAATTCCAACCCACTGGGAAATTTCTGCAAACAGGACACACAAAAAGCAAAAAGTAGACTGGAGTGCAAAAAGTAGCTTCCTCTCCACTGGGAATATACTTCACACATACATTTTAATCCCATCTATACTGCTGGGAAGTTTCAGTCACCTGATTTTTACCTCCACCTTTAATGAAAGTGTCTGAACTGCAAAGACAGCACAAAGTTATGTACTGGTGTTCATGCCAGATCCTGCTCACTGCGAGTGAGGCTCAACCAGCAGAGAACAAAGGAGAGCATGGAGAGCATCTGCTCATGAGGCTGATCCACAGGTCCCAGACCACCAGCTTTAGCTGACCTGTTAAAGCCATGCTCTTGTCAATGTGAGACCACTCAGCACCAGCTCTATTCTGGCCATGTTTCAGTCAAATTTTCAAAGAAAAGCATCCAGCCCAGCAACAAAATGTTTGTGTGCTTGCCAGAACTCCAACTTTAACCCAACCTCCAGCATGCCCTGCTCAGCTGGCTATAAACAGGGGTGAGCACTAGGGCAGAGAGCACTGTCCTATCAGCATGGTGTCCGAAGAGCCTGACTTTGCTCCAGGAATCCCTCAATTCAGCCATCAGTTGCTTGGGATTGCCTCTCTTATTTTACACAAGTGCACTACTGTGTGCTTGATGGCACTTCACTGTGCACATGGCATCTCCTACCAACCCTCTGTGGTGGCATGGGCTCGCAGGAAACCTTCCCTTTCCATGGGAGTAGTTAGCCTCAGCATCACCACTCAGGGAAAACTTTAACCCTCTTTCTCAAAATATATTTCTCTTTCCTGCCCCACTATCTGTCATCTCTCTCCTCCCCATCTACTCACAGCAATCAGACCTGGCAGAAGCAGCACAGCACTGTCTGCTATGATCTCTCACCCAGGGTGCCTTTGCCAACCATTTCCAGCTGCCAGTCAAGGAAGAGTTCATACACTGCTTCCAAACTCCTTTACTCTCTTTCACAATCTGCTATCAAGTGCTGAAAAGAGGACCACTGCTTAGTCTGGAGAGAGAAGGAGGCTTGTACATAGGGTCAGTACAGAGCTCAGTTGGCTTATTAATGCTGAGGTGAACACAATCAGGAACTTTGCTAGAAAGTTTCTTAAGCATCATGTCTTGGTGACATTGTAAGGAAACATGACTGTAGAATGTGTCAATGGGATGAACTGTCTTGTTCCAGTCTAGTATTGTGAAAAATTGCTAAGTTGAGAGGTCTGGCAAAAGAATCATAGAATAGAACCACAGAATGGTTGGGGTTAGAAAGGACCTTAAAGATCACCCTAAAGATCCAATCCATTTGTTACAGTCAGGGACACCTTCCACTAGACCAAAGCCCTATCCAACCTGGCCTTGAACATTTCCAGGGATGGGGTGTCCACAACTTTCTCTGGACAACCTTTTTCAGTGTCTCATCACCCTCACAGTTAACAATTTCTTCCTTTCTCTCTAATCTAAAACTCTCTTTCAGCTTGAGGCCATTCCCCCTTGTCCTATCACTACATGCCCATGTAAAAAGTCCCTCTCTAGCTTTCTTGGTAGGCTCCCTGTAGATAGTGGAAGACTGCTATAAGAAATGCCTTTTTTCTACTGTAAAGAGTAAAGAAGCAGAGAAATAAAGTTTTCCAACACTTGTCTTCCTTGGTAAACAGCCATGGTTTTCTGTGGCTGTTTAACTCTTGATCTCTTGATTGCATATGTTGATTAGGAGTCTTTGTGAACTAAATTGGAGCCACTAATGCAGCCAGTAAGAGTCAGGTCCAACCCATCCTCGCTGACCTGTGCTGGCTTGCTAATTAACTTCTCAGAGGTAGTTCTGACCTTCAGAAACACAATAAAACTTGATCTAAATTTCCACCTCACCTCTCAATCTCATATGAAAGTCTTCATATTAAGCACAACATGAATTTAGCAGTGGGATTTTCAAAATCAGACATATACCGTCACTTCAAGATCTGTCAGCAGAAGTGTAATTAGGATGTGAGGTACAGTCAGGACATGTCAGATTCACTGGCTACCCATGACCACTGCAGCCATCTCTCTGCCCACTGTGAAAGTCCTTTTCCTAGTGTTCGGCCTCCCTTACCTGTCGGTTCTGAAACCTCTCGATGCCTGTGAGGCAAGCTTCCTTGTTGACAAACATCCCCTCCCGGCTCTGGAGCTCTCGCTGACAACAAGCCTCTGGTGTCATCTTTTCCAAAGAGGAGTGTGGAAGATGGGGGATAGCTTCAAAATCTTCTGGCCCGTTCACTCCACAGCAGGCAAACTAGGGAGAGGCACAGAGAAGAAAGGAAGACAGAATTGATGCTTAGCTCTGAAAGCAGATACAAGAAATATACCAAAGATCTATTCTTGTAGGGATCAAAGCTTTAGCCAAAGCAGAGACAAAACAACTATTGTTTCCAAGAAAGTGGGTTGTGCTTGTACCTTGGAGCTTCTGCTTCATCAAAGTCTTTATAAAAAGTCCCACTGTTTCCATGTTGTACTGTAGATTCTAAGGTACTACTGAGAGTACTGCCACAAACTACACAGGGCTTTGGAGCATATCCAGAATGACTTGCTTGAGATCACCCAGCAAGTCTGTAAGGGAGCCAGCAGTACAATCCAGGCTCCCATTCTCTCCATAGCTAATGGCCAGGATTGTTGCTGCTCAAAGGCACTGCTAGGTGATTCAAGTAAGGTCTCTCTTTAGGATTCCAGTCAGGTCCTTTTTAAGGATTCAAGTCATACTCTGTCTCCTTTCAGTCAGCAAAAGGAAATGTCTTTATTATAGTCCTGAATCAGCATGAAGAGCAGCAATCATCTTTTCCTTTTAAGATTAAAATTGACTTTTCATCCACAGAGCCTGACATCCTGCTTTTCACCCTTGAAGAGATAACACCATGGGGTGTACTGAGCACTAAGCTCACATGTGTACACACACACACACACACACACACACACACACAGAGAACTTCTTGTGGTAGGTAATAACAACTGCAATTCCAATGACAGTCAACCTGTAACCTGCCCAATTAGTAGTGTAATAACAAAGTCAATTTTGATGGCTAATATTTTTATAGTGAAAATATGTCATTAGGCACACTCCTGCCTAAGCTGCCACCTACCAACTCATTTCACAAGAGCTAACAAAAGAGCATTAGTTAGCACAAGTTTTTGGCTGCTAGGCTGGAATAGTTCTGAAGTAGTCTGAAAGGTGAAAGGCCCAGAATAAATGCAGTGATATTCAGTCGCAGGCACCTCCACTGCTTTCTGTGCCCACTGTTTGAAACCTGGGGGTACCCAGTCAGGTCAAATGGCTTGGGCTTTGGCAAAACACAAGGGATGATACAGTCAGTGGGAGTGTCTCGGGACTGGTGGCAGCTCCATTTGAGAAAGACTGGCTGCAAGCCAAATTCTCACCTCCCTCCAACCACTGCCACAAGCCCTGGTGCTAGGCTTGACGCAGCAGGATGGTGGGAGCAGGCTGGCCCTGGGTGAGCTGAGGGTGCAGGCTGAGCACCGTGTTGGTGGCCACTGATCATGGGCAGCATGAAACTGGCATGGTCTGACTTACTGTGATCATAACAGAGTTCCAGGTGGAAGAGAAGACATCTGTGTCGTTGTTCCTCTGGTAATGCTTCTTCAGCTCCTTGGTGAAAAACTCTCTGGTCAGCTGAAATGCACAGACAGGTGGAAATGTAAAGGCTACTGCCAACACCTTTCCCAAACACTTCCCAAAGCTCCTTTCTGTGAATGCAGGGGGTTCTTTCGTTGTTTTAGGTTTGTTCTTTGTTTTGCTAACCTCAGAGGAGAAACATGGGAAAAACCACTGGCTGAACCATAACTATATCCAGGGTGAAAGGTACCATTTGAATAAAACTGTTGCTCATTAAAATCAGGGATTGAATTATACCTGTACTTCTAGGATAATGTTAACACTTAAAGTTTGGTTGGTTTGGTTTTGGGTTTGGTTTTTTGTTTGTTTTTTAATTTTCAGCCTTATTTGAAAGTATTTCATAAATTGAAACAGACCTAAACCAGATTTTAGAACTATCTTCAAATCCACACCGAAATAGTAGTTTCACTTACTGTGCCTTATGAGATCTGTAACTAAATCACAATTTTCCCCCCACTTTTCATTCAAACCAGTTAACTTCCTACTAACAACATGGGAGCTGCTCTGAATTTACTTCCATATGTAAGAGAGCAGAATGAAGCCCTAATATGAAACTTTCTGGGAATGAAAAGGAAGTAAAAAACATATAACAAATAGAAAATATTAAAGTCAGCTTATGAATCAGAAAAAACACCATTTCCCTGACAATGCTATAGATTAGTTAAACTAACCCACACACATGAAGAAAAAGACCCTCTTTATATTTCCAGGGCTTAGATAATTTGAACATTTTTCCTAAGGCCAGCAATATAAATGCGTGGAATTTCATTTACTCCTGTTTACATTTACAGTAAAATAGAAAAAATGCACAAACAATTTGTCTCAGAGTCTTCTCAAAAAGTTAGACACCTTGAAATTACATTTACTTAGGATCACTCTCTGGAGGAATAGTAAATATAAAATCCTAATAGTCTTGTTAAATTGAACACCCCAGTTCAATCTTGCTGCCTTTCTGTCAGTTCAAGATGAAAACCTCAAGAAATCTCCTTTTCAGATACCCAATAGGTCTTGACTTGTGTGGTCCCTTCTTCAAAATACCTTATGATTTGTGATCCACACAGAAAAATCTTCTGCCATTTGCAAAGCTGCAGTGAAGGGGGCTGGACTTGGCTGGCTACAGCACTGCTCTAATGTTGCATATTTGCAGGATCAGGAATTAAGCTGCCTGAAAAATACCCTTTTTACTCCCCCCTGTTGTTCATACAGTGCTGCTGACGCAGTAACATATACTGCTACAAGCTGGTTTCAGGTTCTTGATATGCAACGTGAAATATCACACATACACATACATATGTATGAAGTCTATGGGTGGGCACAAAAGCACAAGCACAAAATTGTTTGTTTCTGTTGCAACCGATAAAATCTAAGGGAAAAAAGAGAAGGCTGTGGTGACTTATTTAAAAGACCCCAAATACCACTTAATATTAACTTATCTTTTACAAATACAAATGAAGGCCAAATTTAATGACTATGTCAATACTGGGTAAAACTTTGTCACAAATACTTGGATCATGCAGGTAGCTCAAACTCATTACCTTTTAATTAGATATGCTGCTAAATTACTAAATGACTTATTTGGGACAGATATTAACTCATTTTTTTTGCTTTTGAATATTAAAATACCAGAGACACAGAATTTTTGCTTTGGGAATTTGGTGCACTGAGGGAGGGTCAGGTTAGAAGAAGCTGAAATATATCCTCAGTATTCTCCTTTCCTTTCCTTTCACTGCGTACTTTATCCACACACAATCCAACCCTGCAGAGAGCAGCACATTTTTTTGATGCTTGTCTGTTCCTGAAGCACAGTCTTTGAAACTGATACTACCATTGGTAATAATCCCAGTTGGCTGCCTTTGTCGGGGTCTAAAACAAAAGAGTAATTTAAATATAAAGTGAAACTTTTATTTTGACAGAAGCAATCCCAGAGGAAATTGTTCAGAGTTTGTGTGTGATTTTTACGACGCTTGGCCTAAAACAGAGCCGTGTGCTGGAAGGGTAAGTTTACCAGGAAAATAACTGATTCTATTTTGTTGCTCTTAAACTGCTTGTTCCAAATATCTGAAGTTCAGAAAAATGTGACAAAAGAAAAAAGAAGAGGACAATAAAATAAGACAGTTCTACAGCCATGCCCATGGCATCCCTCTCACTGAAACTAGTAGCAGCCCTGAGGAAGTCTATGCACATTGGAGTGCTATGGCAAGAACCATTCAGAAGGCAGCAAAGGACCTACTAATAAAACTAGATCTTTGCACATACTTGGAACAACACAATTGTACCAGCCACAGCCATGAACAATAAGGAGCTGTTCAGCTGTGTTTTTCTCTCACTGTTCTGGGGGTGACGCCTTCAGTACAACACATCCGTGCGTGCATTTACATGCCAGTGAATGAAGTGTGGCTGTTTTGTCACACTGGTTCAAGAAATGGCTTGGCTGGGATCAGTGCAGCCAGATGAAGGGGGCTTAGAAAAAGGAGGGCATTTCTGCACAACACAGGCATGCATGCATGCTGGCACTGCCCAGGAAGGGCACAACCTTCTCATGCAGTGCTCTGTTTAAGAATACTGAATGCAGTGCAAGAAGGTGCCTTCACAGTGCCTGCTTGTAAAACAGGACCCACTCCTATCCATCTGCACTGGCCTGGAGCATCCTCATGTTTGTGACACAGTACAGTGCTTGTAGGTACAGTCATCAGTGCTGCACTTCTCGCTTCCGCAGTGCCTTCCATTGGAGAGACCTCCGTCCACCCAACTGAGGAAGGTTCATGTTCTTTAGCTTTTGCCTCATGTCTGAGGAAATAGACGTATCAGGAACCAAAGTGACTTGCTTCTTAAATGTTAGAACTGCAGTTAAAAATCCAAACTCCATCCAAAGGCCTACCACTGGACTCTTCTGCTCCTAACATCCCATTTTCTTGATGCTAAAACAATCCACTAAGAGTAAAATATCCCTCCAGGTTTTCTCCCATCCAGACCTCTGAAGGGCATAGAAAAAGCAATTCCTATACATAGAGTCAATTTGATCTTTCATAGCATCTCTCTAGTGTTCATGGAAGTCATTATTTTATGGGGGAACTTATAGATGAAAAAGGGTTCTCCACCCTCCCCAAAATCTCCTTTTCAAAGGAAGAGAAAGTCTGGAAATCCCATAGCTGATTAACAGTAGCCTTCCTCTTCAAAGAAAGTTTTTAAACAGTTCATTGGAGTGCAGCTGGACTTGCAGATCGCAGTAGCTCACCATCGCAAACACCACTTTCACTCACTCCACCACCACACTCTGCTTCACTGACTCTTCCTCTAATGTCAAATCTCAGCAGAAAACGTCTCTTTTTTCCTATATTTTTGTCTCTTAATTTCTTTCACTCCCTCAGCAATTAATAATTTAACCCTGCTGAGTTTTGGGAGCTGGTTTGGATGTAAAACACTATATAGGAGAAAGCTGCACTGAACATTATCTGCAAAGCAAACAGGTAAAGTGTATCTTTTTTCTCATTCTACTCACCCAGTGAGACCACAGCCATATGGACTGGTGCAGTGATCATCCCAGAATCCTCCTTGGTAAGTTTCCAAGAAATTCAGGTTGCCTAAATGTGCATTTACCACCTCATGCCTTGAAAGTAATTTGTTTTGCAAGCAAGAGAAAAGCACATCTGAACTTGAACCTAAATTGTTACTGTGAAAAATTCTTCCCAACACAGGGTCACTGGAAGACCACCTCTGTCCCTATGGACATCCTGCTCAGCCATCTAGCCTCACCCTAACCCCAAGGCAACAGCAAAATTGGCCACAAGTAGTTACAAAGCCAGAGAAGCTACCACCAAAATACATTGCAACAGCAAAATTGGCCACAAGTAGTTACAAAGCCAGAGAAGCTACCACCAAAATACATTGCAACACCAAAACAAGGGGTATTTTTTTCAGAACAAACCTGAGGAGAGAACAAACCACAAGAATTTGACTTCTGCACAGAGCCATCTATGTTGGGATCTGACGTTCTTCATTCCTTCCCATTTAAGCCCTTCCTGTCAGTCATTCTGACAGAGTGGGAAGGTGATGATACAAACAAGAAGATAAACTCAAGAAAGATAAAAGTTTGTTCCTCTTCAAGTTTTATCTCACAAAACACCGTCATATGCCACAGTAGAATAGCCACTGTGACCTTATCTTGTAAGATAACATGTCCTTACATGTCCTGTGGCTCCCATGGGAGTGGAAGGTACTGATACTTTGCCCAGGAGCAGGTTGTAAGCAAGGAGAACACAGAACACAGCCACCCTGCACTCAGGACTTGCAGTTTCTTGTACCTTTTACCAGTTTCTGAGACAAAAGATGAGAGGTGGGAGCTGTCAGTTGACAGTCATTCCCTGATCCCCAGGAAGCGTATTCTCTCTGTCATGAAGCTTATATCTGGGCCTGCAGGGCATTTCTATGTGTGTGGTCAGCTACTTGTACTGAACCAAAGGAATTGTCTAAACCAGCAGAGCTGTAATGCCCAGAATACACCAGACCCCCCATGCTGCAACATATTTATGCAGCGATAGCTGTTCCCATGAGGGCATGGTCTCAAAACCTAAGCTGGAATGGGGCACCCACTCTGTGTGTAGAGTGCCATTCCTTCCCCACTGCCTTCAGATCTGAGGCAAAGACAAAAAAACCCAGTTTATAAAGGGAAAAATATCCTCTCACTACCTCCCCCCAAGCACATCCTACAAACACCATGCTGTCTTGCTGTGAGCTTCCTAAGTCTTGATTCTTTTGTATCAAAAGGTTTCGATATGAATAAAATTAAAAGTATATCTTGGTTCAAGAAAAGCATCATTATACATGGCCCTTCTATGCTCATACCATATTTCTCTCACGTTCACTACAGAAAATGTGCTGTAAGTTCTCATACTACCAGTGGAGGCCAGATAAACAAAATAAATACTAACAGTCACAAGTGACCACCTCTACTGACCAATCTACTTTCACACCCATCACTCAGAGAAGGATGGACCTAGTTCAGTCAGGCTCTTCCTTGGCATATGTGAACACACAAATACACAAACCTTTGCTGCTCAGAGAAAGAAATGAGACTGTAGTTACTACTAGTGTAGTAAAAGTCTACTACTAGCACAGGGGAGGGATGATGGCCATTTAATAATATGCATAGCAGCAGAGTAGAGTAAGGCTACATCACATGAAGCTTTGGAGAGAAGGACTAAACTCTAAGCAGGGCAATATGCAAGGGAACCACTGATGGGACTGAAAACTGGACATAGGGAGACTTGCTTAGGGCAGGTCAGGAAGGATATCTTGCAAGCAGCATTGATAGAAGTCTGGTGAACATTACAATATGGAAATTCAAGAAGGAATATGATTAGAAGATTCTCAAGAGAGCTTTTGCACTGCACAGCAAGCACTGGCTTTCCTGGTAAAACAGGAGTTTTCACCATTAATAGTAATATTAAACACATGCTATATTGAAAGAAAAATAGTTGCCTTTAAGGTTAGTGTGACTTTATTATAAAGGTTCTTCGTGATGGAATGTTCAACTGTTTGGCTGCAAGAGAGTCTGGAAGACCCTACAAGATCCAAAAAACTTGAGGAATAAGTAGCCCCCTGGTGCACGCAAACTATCCACCCTGCACAGTCCAGGTTAGTTAGCATTCCCTGACTTGCTGGCAGTTCTGCAGACTGGTGGTAGCAATGAAGCAAGTTTGCTGGTATTTGAAACAATCAGTTGCTCTACAAACAAATCAACTACCATCTAACACCATGCTCCAGCTGTGTACAATCCCACTGGAGTTCAGTTTGCCCACCATTGGATACTTACATTTTCTCTGAAGATAAAAGCCAGGATTGCAGCTGAAAGCTCTGCCAGGAAGATTAACAAAATAAACATGAAGAACTGGAAAAGAGAAGATAAACAAAAAAGCACAGACAGCATTACGTGTGAGCAATAGGTAGTAGGAATACAGAGTTTTGCTAATCACCGAAGGGATGGAAAAAATAACTGAGGAAATTTTTTTTCCCCTGACAACTAAAAGAAAACTATGAGACAGTCACGTGGAGCACACACAGTCCCTCTCTGATCTCATCACAGGACATGGGAGCTTGTGATGCTTTTGCCTGCTTCTAATGAAGCAAATAAGGCTGCAGAACCTGTAGCATCCCCTGATAAATCTGCACCAGGTTAAAACAGTAAGGCCTACTTCGATGGAAGAAGTTATATAATTGTAGACATGCTCATACTGGGTTAAATTGTCCTGACACAAGTGCATGCATCACATGCATATGCAGACACACCCTTCATCACAATATAAACAACACAATTTTACTGTGATATGATCACATCTAATTTTGTACGGAGGGAGGCAGTGGGATATATACTCAAATATTTAAACCTGTCACCAAAAATGGACTCTATTTAGAGTATTCCTCATTTAAGGACAAAATTAGCCTTGGTTAATATCTCCCTCCACACAATAGGATTGCACTGAGTTAAGTAATAACCACACAGAACCTGTACAGAAAGTTGATAACACACCATAAGAATTACATTTGATAATGGAAGAATCATCCATGTTTTGTATAGTATCCAAAGTGTGCATATTTATATCCTTAAATTAAGGGTACACTGCAGACTTGAAAGAAAGCACAGCTAGAAGATTAAGTGGTAGCAAAACAGAAACAGGCATCCAGTCTGAAGTAAAACCATTACACTTATGTCATCATAATTTTAGGACAAAGAAAGGAAAGCAAAACAGAGAGGCATGTGGCTGTTCGTCTTAAACTATATTTCATCCTGTTGCCCTTGCACCTTTCTGCTGCTTCAATCTAAAAAGTCTGGTTTTCAGTCTTACTTACAGGCACCTTGTTTCGGTGATGTTACCAAGCCTGAGTGATTCACTGTGCCTGCACCACCCACCCCACAGAATTAAATCAGATACACTTAAGAGGTCTCATCCCCAAAGAGAATGACATCTTGCTGTGAGGGTGCTGTTCCCTTATCTACCCAGAGCATTCAGGTGCTGGGGAGTGTTTCCTAGCCAGGAGTGCTGGGATTCCTGCAGGCTCCCACTTCAGATCCTTCTGCCTGGCAGCACACAGGTAGAGGTAAAACTCAAGTAGAGAGGAAAAGAATGTTGAAGGGAACAAATCTCCCAGAGCAGGAGAGCCCTCAGTAACATCAAAGAGCTCAGGACTCTGCCTGTCCTTGGGACCAATTCTCAGTTACCTTGATGTTTTGTGTTTGATGCTGCTTCAGACCATATGAAACAGTAAAAAGAATAGGCAGTGATGCACCCTCTAACATTCTTAAAACAGCAAATGTTGGTGCTGAGGAACAGCTATGGGAGCAGAGCAGAAAGTGGCTAGGGCTCACACTCTCTCCCACAATGGCATTTATTTCCATTCTTGTACATAAAATAGAGGGCTTGAGGAACAATAAGGCTGAACTAGATGGACATTTTTTATGATTTTATAGCCAGAAAGAGAAATTACCATTTGAGAGTCAGCCTGTCAAAAATTCAAACATGCCAAGAATTAGCCCACAGACTCAGATTTTATAAAACTGAGTGAATGTTAAGAAATTAATTCAGATTTTGGCATTGTGTGAGAAAAACAGAAGTGAACAGAGAACCCTGTAAGATTGCATCACATGGAGGGTAATAAACGTGTTACATGTTACCAACAAAGGTGGATGAAGCAACAAGTGAAAATAGGAAGAGAAGTCTGGATGGTTGCAGAACGTCTTTCTGAAACAGCAGGCAGAAAGGGCCACAAGTACCATTGTGATCCCCAAGCAATGATTTATAAACAGTGTCTGAAAGGCTGTGCATTGTGCACTTTGGTGATGGAGACAGAATTCAAACTACCTGTTGGAATGTGCAAAATGTTGTTTTGTTGTCAATTATCAGGGCTGTAAGTGATTTTTCCCCATTGGAAAAGTGCACACACCACCCTGTCCCATTTGTTTTCCTGCTTTGCAGTGGAAACAAAAGAAAAGGAGCCTGGGCTCAAATGACAAAACAAGAAAATCAGATGAGCAGGGACTTTGGTTTCCAAAAAAATTATGTTGCTTGATTTTGCTGAACTAGTTAACTCTCTAATTTATTCTTACTGCTGAAGTTTTCTGTGTGGCTTCTTTTGTTCCTGCTTTGAGACTGTTTTAATTTCACCACAGGAGGGCAAAGAACAACTGATGAGAATGAACGATGCTTTGCAAATTCACTTCATCATCCATCAAGGGATCTCAGCATAGTCACTAAGGTCTAAGGTGGTGATCAAGTGATTAATCCCATCACCCTGCTAATTGCATTTCATTTACTGATTACTGGGAGACACATGCTCACCCAAGCTCCAGCACAGGCTTGTGCAGAAGTGGAAGTAGTCATTCCCAGATTATCCGTGATAAGCGTCATTATCGTTCCCAAACTGATTTACACTTATACTGTGCATTCTGCATTACAGATTTATAACAGTTACTGTAGAAAAAAACACAAGCAGCCATTAGGGCTGATGAGAAAAAGAAGATGGATCATCAGTGTTTCAGAACTTGCTCCCATTCTGAATTTTAAGGAGAGTCAAAACCTGCTTATTATGTTTTGCTTCCAAAAATTAAATTGTTTACTGATATATGAGAGTACAAAACAGCCAGCTGGTTAATGCATTGGACACAGTAGCCTCACATTCAAATTTAAGCTTGAGACACAAAACGTGAACACAGGTACCCCCCATATCCAAGGTCAACATCCTGAGTAGCGTGGTCTCTCATATTGGTCCAAAATCTCGCCTCAGCTCCTGGTGATGGTTATAGGTTTATCAGAAGTTTCCACAAATCAATGCCTCATGTTTATTTTTCACAGCTCATCCACCACTCCAGTTTCAAAAACACTGTTCTAAAAAGAGCAGCAATTGCCTTTAACTCAAAGGACCTGCATTTTCATGGTGAGGAGTTTCAGGTGCTACTACATCCATTTTAGAGGAGTGCAGAACAGGATGTCTGCACTCAAAACTAAGCCAAATGAAGCTAACATGGACTGTTCTTGTTCCAAAGCTGAATTCAGTCCCATGATGCAATGTTGTATGCTCAACAGTATTTTGGATTCTGATTTTTATGGTGGTGTTTTGCAGTCAGAGGGTCTTCAGGACAATCTAGAAGTTACTCAATGCCTGATCTGCAGGGCAATTTTGTGAGCCACGTCCAAGTGCTGGGAAATCTAGAAATACTTCACAGCCTTGTGCTTAATGCAACATGTTAGGTTCCACAGTGATGGGGTTTTTTTAACCAAAAGACAAGCATCTTAATGAAAAATAAAAGTCCTTGGAAAGACAGAAGCCAGAACCTAGAGACCATGCTTTTGTGCATCTGTCTTGTCCCTTCTATCTTCTGTTTACATTTGGACTAAAAGCTTTAGACATACATTATGCATTACTGTGAAATCTTGCTCAAGCAGCTCTCTGGCTCATCAATTCTTCAACAGCTTTGTAAGTGGACTTGATTTGATCTAGCAACTGCTCCCCAAGTACCACCCCCACCAAAGACTTACACTCTATTTTGCAAGTGTTCCCAGTCTCTCTGGAGTACAGTCATGAACATTTTGCCTCTTCAATGCCTTCAATCCTATCAGATTTTGGGTTTCACAGATGTTTTAATGTAAGCTGATTTTAACATCAGCTGGTGTGGCCCCAAAAAAGAAGTTGGCAGTATATTTCTTCTCCCTTGGTATCAGCACAGGTCCTCATCCAAGTGCTTCACACTGAATGAGACAGCAGGTTGTTTAACACAGTTGGCTTTGATACCAGAAGACCTCGAAGACCTGATCAAAGTGGAACAATAAATCCTCATCCAGTAATTACTTTTAGAGTTTCTCCTAGTCTAGGGTATTACTTCCAGCCTGTATTTTTCTCACATTTCATTCAAAATCAAATAATCATAAAGGTAAATAAATAAAGCAGCAGGGCTCAGAACTATCTCTAAGAGTCAGAAAAGTAATAACCACAAAATCAAGTGCATTGGAGTATAACTAGAACACATGGAGGAATATTCAAACCTGTAACTGATATTAAATCAGGAAAGAGCATGGCCCAGAGCTACCTTCCTCCAGACAGGTTACCCATTTGTATGCAGCAGAGATGGTCCAAACTGAAAATATTACTCTTCCATTCACTTACAATCAACAATTTTCATCAAACATAACTTTTAGTTTCTTAATCTGACAAGGACAGGCTTTGAAGTAACCTCAGGCTCATTGGGCCTGATCCTTTGCATTTTATTAGGTTCCTCTGGGCAGATCTCCACAGACTTCACAGGGATACCTCTGGCTTTCTGATTTACTTCTGAGATGAGCCACTAGAAATCAAACCCACAATGGCTTCCAGGAAAGGGATCTCATTTGCAGGCTATGAACTCAAGGCATGAGTGAGCCAAGGGCTAGAGAGAATTTATCTCACTCATCTCTAGGAAAGATGGGTTTGCAGCATTCAAGAAAAAGGACTTTCCCGCTCTGTCTAAAGCTAGAGACAAGCCTTTTTTACACCATGAAGCAGCTGTGCAAGACACAATCATAACAAAATACAAAAAGTAAGATCAAGATCTTAAAAAAAAAATGAACAAAAAACCCAACAACCCCAAAGTGCCAACAGACACTGCAGGAGGGAAAAAGGTCACATTAGACGAAAAAAAAAGAAAACAAGAAAACAAGAAAACTAATGATCTTTGTCTTTCAATACATAACTGGTAATACATTCCAGTAGAAGAGTAGAAGAAAATGGCTGGAAACCCTGCAGTATCTGAACTTATGGGGGAGGAGGCAGGGGCAGAAGTGACTTATTTTAGCTCTTTGTAAATATTGATGACCACATGGGCTGAAATTTAACCCTGCCATTTAGGAGAATGTGCCCAACAATAACAAATCTGGTTCATTTTAGGAGCAGAGTAGGCTGTGTAAAGGAGTGACCAGCTATTGAGAGCTGCAATGACAGGCCACCATGCAGCTCCGAGCAGGGCATTTCTGCTGACATGGGGGGAGCTCCCTTACACAGGTGCTGTGCTCTATATGTTCCCTCTGCTTTGCTGTGATCCCCTGAGGAATGAATCTACAAGTGGATCAGTGGGTTTTGAGAGGTCAAGAGGACCACTCTTGGTCAATTTATAAATGTAAAAAAAATCCAACCAATTAAATGGGGGCATTTTGAAAGAAAGCTTAAAAAGGTCAAAATACACTCAGAGACTGGGCTCAAATCTATCTATATACAGAAAAAGCAAATTCTCTATATTTCTAGCTGTGTGTAAAAGTATCCTAAGCCTATTTATTATCTAAAGGAATAATGGCTACAATAACAGACATCCATCCACGAACTCATCAGAGTGTCATCTATCCAGTCACTCCCACTCTTGGGAAGCACCAAGAGGCCAACAGAAAATGCACGGGCACTTACAAAAAGCAGGAGGCATTTGTTCTCACGGATGGCACCACAGCAGCCAAGGAAACCCAGCAGAAAGAGCATTGCTCCCATAGCCAACACGATGTACGCTCCTGTGAAGAGCAGAGGGTTGGCAGCCACTATCTCTCGAAAACCTGTGGGATCCACAATGACCCAGATTCCAAGTCCCAGCAGGCATGCTCCTCCCAGCTGTCACAGCACAAGGAATGGAGAGAGAGGGAGACAGGTCAACATAAAACAACTGCTGAAGAAAAACTGGATTCATTACTATCTTTTGATCAAACATATTAATTTGGAGAATTTGTGTTTCTCCACTGCATATATTCTCCGAAGTACAGGTGACTTCTGACCTGCTGCTATTAGTATCTCTTGCTGACTAAATGAATCATTTGCAGCAAAAGTGCCTTTCCGCCTAGACACATCACTCTACCAACTATTTACTCCCTCCTAATGCTGAAAGACAGTCTCAATCTGCTGCTACACCTATGGAGGGGCAGCCCAGTGAAGGGGCATGCATGAACCATCCCTGCCACAGAGGCCAGGGCACTGGCCACCCTTCCTTTAAAAAATAAGAACAACAGAGAATGACTGTTTCTGAGTGAAAACCTCAGCAGGGCACCCAGGACTAGAAAATAATTTCTTCTGCCATTCAAGGACAAACCACGTACACCACTAGTTACAGCTTTCTCTGTGGTCTCCCCTGTCAAGGACAGCAATAACTCAGAAAACAGTGAGCACTGCACTGCCTTGCTGAATGTCTGAGCATCTCTGGAAGCTGCAAAATGCTCAGTGATTGCTACTACAAGGCAGAGGGGATATTCTGTATCGTGGCAATTTTATCAAAATTACAGCCTATCCTGCTGGGGAGCAGCAGGCTGCTGGAAACAGAAGGATTCAGGAAAGAAAGTGAATTCTAAATACTTACAAATATAAAGAAATTGAAAAGAAACATCAGGTACTTCATGCAGCTCAGACAGTCTCCCTCCATGGTCTTCAGGCTCTTTGGTCCAACTCCTCCTAAAAAACAACACCACATTCCTAGCACACACTTTTTTATTGGAATGACACGTTCCTATTTTCATTTGTATTTCCCCCAAGATCCTGTGGAGTTCATTATATAGAAGAGCTCTTTTCTTACCTGAACAAGGCAACATAGCACAGGCTACTAAGGGATAATGATCACTGCTAAGCCCCTTTGCATTCTTTAAGGTCTGTACAGATGTGAAGAGGAAGGTTGCAGGAGAGAAAAGGTCTAGCTTTACTTGCAGAGTGAAATACTGGGGGAAAAATATCCCTCTGCACATGAAGATTTTTACCACCCACCTTAAAGCCTGTCAAGTTGAAAAAGCACTGAACGTACCTGCCACACCAAAAAGGGTCGTATTGACACCAGCCAAAACAAACCGTGCCCAGTTAAAAGATGCACAACAAACATTTGGGACAGTTAGCTCCATGCAAGCTTCCTCTACAGAATGAATGCCACACAAACATGGACCACAGTTTCAGGGAAACTTGTAGACATTTGAACTGGGAATGACTGCAGTGTGTGGACATGGGAGGGCCCACGGAGGCTGTCCACACAGGGTTACTCAGCCTGTGACACACCACTTGCTTGTCACACATTTTTCATGCACCAGAACCATGTGAAGTCCCCTCTACGCCCCACTCTGCACATGTCTTTTACAGGAAAAACCCATGGATCAATGTTGGAAAGCTTTTAAGGCCAGGAAAAAATGCTATGGAATCTTAACCAGTTTTGAAATTCGATGTCTGGTTTAGACAACAAACTGCTTGGACAGTGCTTCTATTGGAAAAGCAACAATAAATCCTGACCAGATGAGATTTACACTCGAGGAAAGTTCCTGCTTGCTGTTTAATGAAGTGACTATGTCTCCTAATATGCCATTATATCACCAAGTACCCCAGAGGGACAGACAAATAAATACACTGAAACAGAAAACAATGCAGTCATGGTGCTGTGCACAGATAGATCTGTACATATGCAAACACAGAGGCACAGGTTTGCTCAGCTCCTTAAAGAAGACTTCCCAAAGCCCACATGCCTCTTAGTGCATTCCATTCCCTTTCTCCACTGTAAATACCATTCCCTAAACAGACATGCATCTAATGATGTGCTATGCTAGCAAAGTACACTTAATTCACTTAAAATAAAAAAATGAAATTATCCAAGGTTTTCACTAGGTCGGAAATAAAACTCTCTTTCATTCCTTCATTGTTTCAGTTAATCCACAAAACTTGTAAGTGCTGTAAAGCCTTGTGGGGTGCTTTCTTCTGTGACCATAGGAACTGCTCTGCTTTAGCCAAAGAGCTGAGAAAACCCATGGCAGGCAGAGCTGTCAGCATGGGGCTGCCTGAGGTAAGAGCCAGATTTTTCTTAACACAGGATGTGTTTTCTACATTACTTTTACTTGGTTTAAAATCAAATCAGCTCCTTTTTAGTGACAAAACAAGCGGAGACACAAATGGTGCTACATAGAAATTGATGTGGGCATGCAGTTGCTTTTCCTCTGCATCTACATGTGCCTGGGGCAGGACAGCAGTGTGCCTCTGCTGAGTGGGTAATGCCCAGGGAACCCCCTTTGCTAGAGGGATCCCATGAAGGTCCACCTTGCTTCAGCAGAAACACAAATCTGAGAACCACGGCAATATTTTTCTTTACAAACTTTATTTTCTTATATCTCTGATACATAACTGTTCTGTTCAGAGAGACTCAAAGACATGACCATTACTGCAGTAGATGGAGTAGGGCACAGAGCTCTGATGTGGGCCTGGAGGAAATGCCCACAGCTTCCTGACAGTGTTTAAAACCATGTCTGAAAAACTCACAAAGAAAAGAGATTTCACGGAATATTCTGAGTTGAAAGGGAATCACAAGGATCATTGGGTCCAACTCTTAGGTGAATGGACCATATGGGGACCAAAACCACAACCTTGGCATTATAAGCATCATGCTCTATAAATCTTGACGTTCAGAAGGGTAAGGACCTGGGGAGGGAATTCTTCAGTTTTATGGGAAAGGGAAGCCTCAAGCTCCCCTAACACAAGTCTTGGATACTATAGTAGAGAGGGATATGAAAATACAGACAAATCAATGAACTTCAAGAGCCCCACAATTAGTGTCACCCAGATGTTCCCCTCATCACAAAAAAGCCATGCTCCAATGAAACAAAGGATGCCTAAATCTTAGTATATTAGCCAAAGTCTTGAAGTTATCTAAGAAATTTCAAAATCCTGCTGCCTTGAGCACCCACCTGCATGATCTTTATCATAGTAGCCTTTGTCAAAAAAAAGGAACAAACCCCCAAACAGTTTATCCTTATTGTGTCACTGCACATCATACACACTCATCCCACTACAGTCATCCACATGCCTGTGGTCTAAGAAGCAGCAGCTCCTAAGCCAAAAACTGTCTTGCTGCTTTGTAGCATTGATAAATCACATCCCTGCCTTACTTTCCTTTCCATGTCTGGGTCTGCTTCCTCTGAAAGACAAACAAGCTCCCTTGGAACTACTCTGATGTACACGAACTGAGTACAGGCCTACTTTTATTTTCAAAGACAAACCTAAACTACAATTCTTTGCACCGCTCCTGCCCACTCATCCACTCAGTATGTTAAATGTTTTCTAGGCATAAGCAAAGAAGGGAGACTGTAAATCCATTAAGCAACCAGATCCTGAAAACTTCACTGTCAGGGCCAGGCAGTCACAGTAACCTGGGAGCAGCAAGAACACTCAGCTTTGAAAAACAAGGACTCCCTTCGTTGCCTTGGCAAGAAATTGTCCCTAGCAGCAGCACTGGGCTCAAACTTGCAATTTCTAAATCAACCATACTTCACACAGCAAAGCAACAACTAAATGCAACCACTAAGTGCAACCCTACTCACTGTGCTGTGCTTCAAGTCAGGAACACACCTACTTGTGCTTACAAATTCCAAAATCTGCCACTCAGGATGTGCAAATGGAAGTCAGGGGCAATACTGTGAGGTCTGGGCTGGCAAAGCCAAGAACAAACATATCAGAGTTTCCACATCGGAAGAACTCAATGCAAACTTCCAAAAAATGCCAACCTGATCTGAGCAACTGTTTTAGCGGTGGAATTCAGAGCTTGGAGAGACCCACATGTACCAGCATAACACAGCCTTTCCAGTTTCTGCTGGGTACCCAGATTCCCAAACAGTACATGCAAGGTCATCATTTTGATCCTGTAATTGCACTGATTAAAATAGGAAAAATCAACCAAAAGCATGATCTGATCTCTTATGAGGCACTTAAAACTGTTTGATGTCAGAGTTAAAGCACTCCAGCAAACTGCTCCAGACTTTGAAAAGTATGTAACTAATGCTATTTACAAACAATGCAAGCAAAATGCAAATAATATGACTTACAAATAAAATAATTATGGATGCATTTGTGCCAACTGCTGCCTTGCTAATTAGCTGAAGGTACCTGAAGTCCCTGATGACACGCTGTATGGAGAAAATAACTGATATTAAAGGACAATCCTGACCCAAAGAACTGCTTTTCCTTCTACTTTCCTTTTTAAGCCATACACACAAAAGGCAAATTTTCTGAGTTATTGCTAGTACACACCGATAGAAGTGAGATAAAAATTGAAAGCAAATATCATAATGTACCTTTTAAAATACCTTCTCTTCCCTCCTTCAGGCCCCAAATTTGTGACAGATTAAGTTCTCCTCTGCAGGAGATGTTTAATGCTAAGCAAACATTAACAGTCAGAACTGCAGAAGACAGTGGCTGACAGATGCTTTCTCTGGCTTGTCCCATCTCAGACTTGTGAGACATATGAGATCTATATGTTTTTGTCTGAAATGTAGCTATAAATGTTCAGGTTTTTCTTAGGCAGATTATTCTACATTTCTCTCCCTTCCCCCCGCCCACCTCCATCACTCATGAATTTTATCTTGCAAAGTGATGGGGAGGCTAAAAATCCCCAGCAGTGTAGCCAGGAAACATCCTAGCTGCTGTAATTGGTTAGGAAGTCTAGTTTTTTTAAGGCAATGCATTTTTTTGTTGTCTAGCCACAATTATTTCTTCTGTCATTTGCTTTTGCATGCCTTGCAGCTACCCTGAACTTCACATCTCTGAAGGCAGCTGTTCAACCACACCCCAAAAAACTGCTACTAAATTTCTCTTTGCTACCACTGACATTCCCTCAATCCCCATATCCTTTTCACACTATATTGAAACCCATGGATTCACTTCAATTGTTCCTTTACCTTTACTTTGGAGATGAAATCACTGAAAAACTTAGGTGGGACAGGACCTCTGGATGTCATTGAGTACAAACACCCACTGACTCCAACCTGGGCCAATTCCAAAGTTTGATCCAACTTCAAAGTTAGAGCAGGCTGCTCAGGGTCACTTTAGTTAAGTTCTGAATGTCTCAAAGGACTGAGATTCTCCAGTCTCACTGGACACCTCTTCCAGTGTATGATGACCTGCCTCGTGAACAAATGTTTTGAAACAGCTGTCCAAGGTGTGTCCAAGTTACCTGGTGGCAAATGGAACAAGAGCATCTCACAGATGCGCTACTCTATCAGAACTCTCAGGAGCACCTCGTCTTCACCAGTCTCAATCCTTGCATCTTCCTTATCATATCACTCCTACCCTCTACTTGAAAACAAGTGTGCAAACCATTTTCCATGTCCACTCCTAACATACCTCTGCAGACAATTTGTGTTTCAGTACATAAAATTCAGACATTTTGCACTTGCCTGATGGCTCATCACAGTCTTCCCATCTCAAATATTTGACAGAAAACACAGAATAACCAAGAATAAAAGAGACGCCTAGGGGTCACCATGCCCAACTCTCATGCAAATCACTTTCTCAGTCACTTCTTTTGTATCACATCATCCACATATATCTTCTTTTAACAAAAATATCTCTTTGTCATCAACATGCACGAAGACCTTGTCCACTGAACTGATCTGTTGCTTCTTTAAAACCTAAGAACCAGTTCTGCAGTACTTCCTACAAAATATTAGCCAGTGGCTTGAGGAGAAAATGGTGCTAACTTACACCTACCTTCCTATTCATACACAATGCAACCAAGTAAAAGCAGAAGACATGTTTCAAGCTCTCCAGAACTAGTGCCAGGCAGCCTTTAAAGGGATTAGAAAATATGAACTAGATTCTTTTCCAAGTAAATGTATCAATTTCTAGAGGCTGTCCCAGCTGAGATGTCCCTGGAAACACCCCTGAAGCTCTAAGCTGCACCAATGGCAAAGGACCACCACCACCTGGCATTGCTCCATTGTGTCCTCTCCACAGCAATGTGCCAGCCCACCCTTTGGCTTGCAGGCGTTGAGACTTGACTCAGCATGCCTGCCTTCTTTCGCAAGTCCATCTCACAAGAGGATTTCTGTGTTCACTGTCTGCAAGCAGTATCCAACTTCTATAAACCTAAGTGGTGGATTCTCCTAAGAGAACAAATCTAACAGGAAAGGCCTTCCAGAAAATCCTCTCAGAGTATTATTTCCACACAGTCTGCTCCTCTAGATACAACAGAGATGGGGCAGTTTCATTAGAGACTGAAAAGGGGTGACTTTATCCGGTACCTTGTGAGTGATAACGACGTAGTTGAGCTGTGTATTTCTTACCCCTCTCCTGCACACCATAGCTACACTTAACCAGCCCTGACAGAGATACAGAGAAAGCATCTGGCATGCAGAAAGACCAAGCTATAAGCAACACTCACCTTTAAAAATCTTGGGACTGGAAGCACAGTGTCTATTCTAGTCTTTAACTGTCTGTGTGTCCCATGTATTTTGTTCTATCCAAGCTCGTCCTGTTAGATAAAAATATGCAATTACTGAAGAAGTCAATAAAACACAATCATGTTAAATACACAATTTATTAAAACACACCATCCTGATGAATATGCTCAGTTTAATTGCCACCTTAATTTAGTGTACATTAGCAGTAATGAAAAGCTTTTAATATGTGGTGAGGGATTCAATTTCTCAGAATCTCTTTAACAATCTTTGGGGTGTTTTAAATGCCCACAGACCACATGTAAATCTATAGTCCCATTACACATGCACCTCATCCCACAAGAGGACTAGATTAATACCAGCTGCACCTTCAATATTTTATAGGAGGCTTAGACAAACTTTAATCTGCTGTGACTTTACAGCCCATTTACTGGGAAAATGGAAAAGGCAGGGGAAGGGAGGTGGAATGCATCTTTGGGAAGCCCAGCCATTAGGAGCAGGAGCCTGAGACGTTGGGCACTATCTCTCATTCTTTCAACCAGCTCTCACGCCAAGTTGAGCAAACTATTTCCTCTCCCTCTGCCTCATTGTCACTGCCTGGGAAGCAAGAACAGAGAGGAACAGCAAAGCCACCACCCTCTCCACCCAAAGAATTAGATATACAGGTGCAGGCAGAGGGACTCAGGTACAGGCTGCCACTGCCCTCAAGCTAAAAATTACAATTTTCTCGGTAAATTTTAATTTCTACCTGCACAATGCTAGTGATAGCCTTTGACTAGACAAAGGTGAGGACAGACTTAAATGTAGTGTCAAACACACAAGGCATGTGTGTTTGACTGTTGCTTTCTATACAGTGTTTTTTCCACCCATTTGACACAGCCCCAACCCCACACTCTGCAGGCCCTGTGGGGAAGGGGCAGTCATTAACTCTTCAAACAGCACCCCATGCCATAAGAGTCCAATATTCACATAGGGTCGCTCAGCACTGTAACTCACTCATCCTTCGTAAATGGTTTTGGCACACTCACAGCTTTGCTGAAGCCACTGCTTCCCTGTGAGGCATTATATAAGTCACCTGGGTCTATCCCTGCTCTCTCACTGCCAGCATTTCATCTTGATTTCTGGAGTGGGTGCATTTAACATCTGTTTCCCACAAACATTTGTAAATGTGCCTTTGAAAATTGCCTCCCATTAAGACTTCTGTGAGCAAAAGTCTATCGTTTGTTGTTGGCAGGAAGCGAACAAGGAGTTTCAAGGTGGCTGAAATTATTACAATATAAAACATATAATGAATATTCATAGATCTGTTTTGCATTAATCGCTCACATTTAATGTCCTTCCTCTGTCACTGAAAACCTACATCTCTAGATGAAGAGCAGAGATGGCTTCGCTCTCTGTATGGAAGGTACAAACATCTATGGCCAATTGACCTGTTTCTGCTGTGAAGTGCTGAAGGCATGTGCCACTTTACAATGCTGGGTATGAAGGCTGCCCTGGATCAGTACAGCTTTTCCATCAGTGTGAAAGTTCAGAGAGTGCCATGTGACTGGCTGAGAGATGGCTGCAGCAGGTTCAGGCATGTCTGAAGAGGGCTTTGAAGAGTCTACAGCTAGGACAAGGAACAATGTCACTGCCTCACAATAGAGAGCCCCTTTTTGACAGTCAGAACCCAGTGCCCACCCTTACCTTTTTATCTATTTCTTTGGTGTGTGGGGACACTTCATCCTGTGTTTTGCATGTGCAATTGAGAGACAATTTCTTCAGTTGTCCTGTCCTGTGATGCCACTGTCCTGGGATAGCTGCTGCCAAGAGAAGATGGCTCTAACTTTAAAGCAGAGATGACGCTGTGCTATATAAACCTATCATTAGGAAAATAACCAGAGTGATAGGATTCCTGCTCCTACTGTGTGTGCATATAATTACAACTCTACAAGCCCTCAAAGGTCTGTGTGGGAGAGGAATTTTGGGTTTTTTATTCCTCATAAGTCACAATATTTTAAAGAAATTATAGCACCACAGAGAGGAAGAGCTTAAATGCTTCAGTAGGTACCAGCAGGTGCTGTGTCAGAAGAGATGAAAGACTGCAATTGGTGCCAAACAGCAGCAATGCTCCATCTTACTCTGTGGCCCTAAAGGGGAGGAAGTCCCTACTAAACAGACTCATTGGTTAATAGCTACAATTTTGTCATTAGGGAGAATTGCAGAAAGTGCAAAACCACCATGCCTAATTATGACTTGAGCAAGCTGATGCCTTTACTTACAGTCGCTGGGGAAACACAATGGAAGCCAGAGCAATGGCTGAGGCCAAGCCCCATCCTTAGGGCTGTGTGGTGCAGCCACGCTGCCTCAGCCAGCTGAGCAGCTGTAGCTGGCATGTTGTCTTGCCCCTGTGCTCATCCCATGGCCCCCACATCAGCTCTCCCTGCTGAGCACTGGCTTCTCTTCACATTCACATTGTAGTTCTTTGTGAGGAGCAGGCTTTGATGAAGGAAAAGCAGCTGAACTTGTGACCCTGCTTGTCTCATGCCACAAGAAAGACAGCTGGAGCTCCAGAGCAAAGAGGAATGGGGCAAAGAGAGGCTGATAGGTTAACAGTAGCAAGTATGGTAGCAAGTGAAACAAGAAATGAACAAAGGATGCAGGATGGAGAAGCAAGGCCTGTCTTTGTGAGAAATCTGACCTCCTGCAGGAAGGGCCACCAGATGGACCGCTTACAGGTGTCCTGCTTCATAAGGGCTTCTAGCTACTGCCAGCCCCCTGTGCTCACCACATTTGCAGGATCTAGAGAAACTAAATCATATGCCAACCCATATGTTCAACCACAGCAGATATTAAAGACAGAAGTAGTTTCCTGCTGAATGTCTGCAACAGGTCAATGCTTTTATGGTGAAAGGTGAGGAGAAACATCTCTGTGAAAGCAGGATCAAGATATTCGTTCCCTTGCAATGGCTTCAGAAAAAAGTAAAGCATTTGCTGCTCCTGAACTGGACCTTGACACAAGCTGTGTACATTATCCTGTAACTATTGCTCCTACATAAATAACTAATTGTACTGGAATTTCATAGCACTTACACAGCAGAATCGTTGCTATGACACAACTACATTACTGCATATAAATCCAATTAGATTCCAAAGTGCACTGTGTAACTGTAATCGGCCCCTGTGGAGCAGCGATGGGAGGACCTGCACAAGACCATGCAACTAGATACTAAATTACAGTCAATCTACCTCCTCTTTAGTTGCATTAAAATGCTAATGTCGCTGTAACATGGGCCCATTTAGCAGCGATGACTGCCTTGCCTTGCAACACTGGAGTGAATGAGGCTGTTGCACTGCCTCAGAGCATTTAATTCCTCAGTACAGTTGAGTGAGCAAAGCCCTTAGGGGCATCTTATACCTTAAAACAATAACCTGATTGGCTTTTATAACACTAAAAGCATATGAGGCTTGGGACAGTGTTTAAATGAATCAGAGCTGCTGCTAAAACTACCTTAACTTTCCTACCCAAGCAGACCAACTGAATCCCATCCCATCCTGACTGCTTTTAACAAAGACACATTTCGGCCACCAAACAGCTGCACAGTAACAGCATATCAATCTTATACAGGAGAAAAAAGAGAGCTGGACTGAACCCCTTAAAACTTCATACAAATAACACCAGCATTGCAACAAAACCAATAATACAACAGTTACCATCTATGTTTTATATTTGCAAGTTTGCAAAATGTGTGCACAGAATACATGAGATCATGTGGAGGTAAAATCTCCCACATGTACACAGACATTCAATATGGAAATTCAGAAGTCCCAGAGCAGAACCAATTCTCCTAAATGTTGTAACGTTTTGAAAAGTGCTAGAGTATGTGTTTGAAGTGCCAGTATGGCTTCAGGCCACTGAGCACTCCATTTCATCTAGTGCAAATGTGCATACCACACCGCTGGAAACATGAACTGCTCACTTGGGCCCCTTCCCAAGCAAAGTTCGATAGGTAATCACATCTGGCTCTTTCATACAGCTTTTCACACACAGGCACCACCCGTCTCAGAAAAGAAGATACTGCATACAGAACCGACACATCTAATAGCCTGCAACTCTTTTAAGTTCTGCTGCTTAAAAAAAGGTCCTCAGATAGCTCACAGGTGTATTTTCCCTTTTATTAACTGCAGTACAATGGAACCATATGGTAATGTCTGCCTTTCTAAACAGATGACCCAAAGGTTATACGCACTGATGATATAACAACATTAATTTTGTTTATCAGATAAGAAAAACAAAGCTAAAAGGGGAATGGATGTGTTAAACCTGCTGACCCCCAATACAACCCTGTGTTCACCAGTCCATACTGAGACCAGTCCCAAACCGATGAAAAAACTCATCACTTCTGGCTGATAAGTTACAATCTTTGCAAGGCATCTTCTGTCCCAGAAAGCAGTTATTTACCATACCAAAGGGGAGGTGGCTAACTTTGGCCTCTTATTTCTGAAAATATTTCCTTTCTGGATGGAATAAATGTCACCATCCTGAGTGGATCATGGAGTTGCATCACAAGCCAAGTGACATTATCCACTGTCATGTCAGATACTGTCAAGTGTTGAAACACTCCATACGCTTGCATGGCATTCCAAACGCTGAGGGGATTTAACATGAAGTGTAAATGCCTGCCACTTTTTCCCCGAGCCTGACACATCTCACCTTTACAACAACTGATTCCTCGGTGCTCTTTTCTGTTCTCTTTTTCTATAGCCTTGCTTTGTTTGCAGCAAATGCCTCAGCAGTTTGTGGCATTCATGATGGCTTTGAAAGATGAAGGAATAAATTTCAGAAATACTGGACAGTTGCTGCGGCAACCTTGTCCTCCTCAGACCACAATTTCCAACATTTTAAGAAGTTTCCTGATACTTTGCAGCCTTCAAGGAAACAAGGCAGAGGAGGAAAATGATTTTAAAGTAAGGATGTTACCAAAATGGATTACTGTGAGCCACAGGCCCTTGTCCTGTTGTAGTGGGTTTCTGTGGCTGGGTTTTGGTAGCTGAGGGGGGCTACAGGGGTGGCTTCTGTTAGAAGCTGCTAGAA